TAGTTGACATAACTTAGCCATTAGAAAGTAGTGACATAGTTGTATTTGGTGTAGACTAAAGTTGGTTGATACTCGATACTACACTCATTGAGATTGGACTTTCGGGATATTTCATTCGCAATTTAGATGCATGTGCTGAAATAATGCCCGAGAGAAACATCAGTGATATTGAGATTCTTAGAACTCGGTCACTTCTTTTAGGATAGGTTGAGCCAACTAAAACTTCAATATGGTACTTACCTATAAACTCCATGCAAGCCTAAACCTAAGGCTTGTTGTGTTTTGTTTGTGTTTGATTAAATTGTTCAAACATGACATCATAACATTATGACATCATACCATATCATTTTCACTAACCATTTCAAGGACCTAGGGATTTATCTTTGTTCTGTTTTGTAGGTTATGGCCTTCACTTGCAGAAACACTATCCAAATCAGTTTTGTGAAGATACCTTCTTAACTTAAGGAGCTAGTCTCAAAAGTTCCTGAAAGCTCTCTGTTGTACCCCAAAATTTGCCCTCTCATTTTTTCCAAGATTTTTTCTTATATGGGTGGTCACAAGCACTTGATTAAAGGAAAAAATAATTTTTTTTGAAGATAAACAAAGTCTTTCGATTGGCATGCCAAAGGGTCTTTCGATTGGCATGCCAAAGGGTCCCTCTGTGCGTGCCTTCAGCACACAAAGTAAGAATCCCCTGCAAGCTCCCTTCGATCCACCAGCAGTGACCTCCTGCATGCTTCCTTTGATCCATAAAACAGTGGGTTCCTGCATGCCATCTTCGTTTAGGGAAAAAGGCTTCTTCATGCTTGCTTTGGATTCACAATGGCAGAAACTTCTTCAGACTGGCCTTCGATCCACAAGGAAAAAGGCTATTTTTAATTGGCCTTCGATTCACAAATTTCCCACTGGGTAAAAGGCCCCTCAGCTTGTCACCAGCGCACGTATGCCCCTTCATGCCTGCGTTGGTTTCACAAGGCAAAGACCCATCAGCATGCCTTCGATTCACTAGGCCAAAAGTCCCTCCATGCTTGTGTTGGAAGCATAAGGCAAAGACTTATTCTGTGCTTGCTCTTAATTCCAAGACCCTTCAACGCACAAAGTTTCGGCACTATGACGTACCCGGATGCCCTTTCAGGAGGTACACAACTGGCACATTCGAAGGACAGGCACATGGTCCATTCGAAGGACATATGTTTGCCCCATTTGAAAGACATGTATTGATGGAATTCAACCCATTCATTGTTCAAACTGTCCCACCCCGGGAAGCACCAAACTGGATCACTCATTATTGGTATATTTTTGATGAATTCGAATTTATGATTTTGCGATGAATTAATCTTTTTCAGTGCTTGATTTGTATTCAGGGGATTCATTAGAACAAGTTTGATGTATTGTATGCAAGCTTTAATGCGTAAAACATAAAATTCCATTGTTAGGGGAATCCTTGGTTGTTGAGCTTCGTTCTCCATGATATGATGAGTTTTAGACCAAACTAACCCTGCCATTGGGTTCGCAAGGATCCAATTAGCTTAGTAGGGTTATTAGTTTGCTTGTTTTCATTGATTCATGCAGGATTGGTTTTTTTGAGGCCATCAGAGAAGATAAACGGAGCTTTGACTTCAGCCTGGCCTGATCGGTTGACTCTGGTGGCACAAACGTCACTATCCTATTGGCCTGTCTAAATCCTTGCTGGCGCGCGTTTGAAATATAACAATCTAATTAATTTTCTTATATTATATTATTGTTTCATATATATAAACGAATGAAATTTCAGCTTAGATGGCAGGCAAGGTGTGTGTATGAGGAGAGGACCTGGGTTCAAGTCCCAGGTCCAGCATTTTGTATTTTTTTCCTAATATATTCATGCAGATCCCATGCTTCGAGGGCCAGGAGCATACTATATGTCTTCAATTTGAAACCAATAGATCATGGGTGGTCTAGATCAAAGGGCTTCAACGCGCAGATCCAGCATATGCCCTCAAGGATTCATCTCACCAGATCAAACACAAATCTGGACTTCACAATGTGGGCCAAGCACAAATTCAAATTAGCACCTCCTTGTCTCTTTTACATACTGTCATACCCCAATTTTGACCTAAGATCCCTGCTTCATCTGCATTATTTTCTATATACATCAAGGTCACAGAATACGGTAGGTTTTGAACGTTTCGCCTTCGAGCTTTGACTGTGTAGAGATTATCAAGTGTTGTGAGCATTTTATCTTATGAATGACTAACCACTAATCAAGCACGAAGTGTATGTTTTGTTATTTTGTTTTCATGTGCAGGAAATAGGTCTGAAAGAAGAGCATCAGACGTCGTACATCGATTAGGATTCCGAGTCTCGAGGCAGAAATGCGGTCAGTCGTCAATTTCCAAAAGCTGATTCATCAAAAGAATTTCATAGAATTGTGCGTTTATTTCCACACTCTGTCCAACAGATGGTCTCCAGTTTCTCCGAATATTTTTTCAGAAAGAACGGTCGAAGTTCTATCGACTTTGGTTCATGTGTGTTTCACATTATTCTAAAATACAAGAAAAACCAAGTTATGACGTCGTTTTTGATTTCTTTGACCAAAGTCATCTGCAAATTTTCTCATGACGCATGGTGAATTTCGTAAAAATGGGATAATTAAGTTCAAAGTCGTTCTAGAAGGATTTATTCGGAATATTTGGAATTTTCTTTATTTGAATTCAAGGGATAATTAAAGAGGAGCTATCAAGAAATCTCATCCAAGAATAATCATTTATTGCATGAAATATTTATTCAAGATTATTTTTGTGATTAGTTTGGTGGACATACATGAAGCATTTATTCAAGAAGTTAGTGGAAAATTAATTCGATCCAATTAATCGGTCATCACAAGACTAATTACATGAGGAATTCTATTTGATTACAAAATTAATCCATGTGATTTATTTGGATCTCTATTACAAAAATTCAAGATTAAAGTCTAAGACTTACATTATTATTTATTCATCATTCAACAATTTATTCAAGTATTGTTCAACTCTTTCTCAATTCAAATGGAAGGCCTTGAATTTTTATCAAGACATATCAAGATTCATGATTATATGAAGATTCAAGATTATTTATAACCACCAAAGAAATTGAGAATATATTGAAGAATACATGTTTATTCATGTTACAATTTATTGGGATTTATTGTTACAAAGTTACAAAATAAAATACAAGTTTTGTACATGAAAATTAAACTTTTATTCTTGCTACAAAACAGTCTCAATGCTGCCTATTTTTCCAGCACTACATTAATCCATGATAGTCCATTTTTTGTGAGTTTAGTGCTGTCCATTTTCTTCCACCTTGTGTCAACAAAGACCATGCCAAGCTGTTGTCCAAATCTGCCCTGCAAAACAGCCCAGAATGCAGCCCATAAGACAAAAGTCTGCACATTTTGCTGTTACAAAAATAGTATGCAAAGCTCCAAATATTCCACTAAAATGGATACTTCAAAAAGCTATCCCATGAAATAGCAAAACAGGGCCTGAATTTGTTCAAATTTCTACTGTTTTTCCCCCCTAAAACCCCACACATTTCACTATAAATAGAGGCTTTTGTCAATACAAAAGAGGGGGAGAGAAGTAAAAAATTCAGCAGAGAAGGAATCCAAAAAATTCAGCAAGAGTGAGAAAAATAAAACAATAGAGTTTTGTTCAACAATCCAACAAGAATGTGAAAAAACAGAAAAAAATAGAGTTTTGTTCTAAAAATTCAGCAAGAAGAAAAACAAGAAAAGAGAAAAAACTTACGGTTTTAGAACCCCCATCGGAGAGGCTCCGATAGGTATTATTCTCTTCCTCCTCCCTATATGCTTCTGCATATATTCATGTTTGAACCATTCTATTATTCCATTTTTCTGCCATACAATGCTTGCTTCATCATTACTTTCCCTGCTGTATTTTTTTAGTTTCTGCAATTTGTTAACGTTTAAAGATGTTAGTATTAATAAACACCAAAAAGAAAACAGTTTTAAAAGAATATCAGAAAATAAAAATTGTAGAAACTTTCTTTATGTGATTCAGCTCGTCCTAACTCACCTCAGGCTGTTAAACGGCTAAAGCTTGTTGTTACAAATTTAGAACCTGCTGTATCAAAAACCTGAATCTGCTATTACCAAAACTTATAACCTACAAACCAAAACAGTACCAAATACAAAACAGTTTAGAAACCAGTAACCTGTTACAAAACATTTGAGCTTGTCCCAAAATCTTAAAATCTGTTAGAAACCAACAACTTGTTCCAAAACACTTGCTGTCCAAAAACGCTAGAGCCTGTTAATCAAAAACTGAAACCTGTACCATCTTAAAACTTGTATCATCTTAAAACCAGTTAAGCTTAGCATCTGTAAAAAACCATGAAACCTACTGTTAAAAACAACCTGTTGAAACTTAAAACCGGCTTATCTTTAAAAAAAAAACAAAAGTCCTAAAAACCTGCTGTAAAAAACTTAGAAACAGCAAAAGTCTTAACCTGTAAACCAAAATCCAAAAACGCTAGAACCTGTTACCAAAACTTGGAGACGACTGTAGCAAAATCTCAGAACCTGCTGTCAAACCACATAACAAATGTTAAAACCAGCCTAGAGTTTGTTTAAAAGCCAGCATAGAATATCTTAAAACCAGCTTAACCTGTATAACCCTTAGAACTTGTACAAATTTTAGAACCTGTTATTAAAACCAAATATCCAAAACTCTTGGTTCCAGATGGCATCGAACCGCATGTAAAACACACCGCATGACCTTTTTCTCATTCACTTCACCAAACTTAATACTCTCCAGCACCACCACAACCTTCATCGACGAAGAATCCTCTGCCGAAAGCACCACCGTAGCTTTATAAAAGCTGACACCGTCCTGGAATTATCAGGTCAAACCCAAACTCGCTCCACCCTCGACTCCTCCAACACTATTCTGTCAGCCACACCTCCAAAGGAAAAGGCAAAGCCGGCCAAATCCTCAAACCCACACTCATGAACCCTTATGCAACGTTTACGTCCCATAACATTGGACGATGTTGTCGGGCAGGACCATCTTCTATCAGCAAATTCCTTTCTCTGTTCTACAATCCAACGCAACCTTTTAACTTCTATCCTCTTATGGGGTCCACCTGGTGACGTTACTTCTTCAACAAATTCAACTTTCTATCATTTTGTCTCTTTATCTGCTGTTACTAGTGGTGTTAAAGATGTTAGAGCAGTTGTTGATGAAGCAAGAAAACTCAGACTCAAAACAAATCAAATTGCTATTCTTTTTATGGATGAGGTTCATAGGTTTAATAAATCTCAACAAGATTTTTCCTTCCAAGAAGTAACGTTACTATTGAGAGATTGGAGAGAAAGGGCTTTTGTTTTGTATTGAACTTAGGAAATAGTTTGTAGTAATAATAATGTTATCTTTTCCCTTTTCTCATTATACAGTCACCGCGCCCCAACTTACATTAGGGTTTCCCAACTTTTTCTTGTCCTTTGCCAACCGGGTCGGTCCTTTGGGCCGCTGGCCCATTTTTCTTCTATTCGCTTTTTTCCCCCTTATTTACTATTAGAAGCTCGTTAATAAACGAATAGAGATCTAGCTCAGCTGGTAAAGCATACTACCCATCACCCTTAAGACCCGAGTTCAACTCTTGATGGGGCATTTTTTCCAATTCTTCTAAGCTTTTTCCTCTCAATTTGATTATATTAGTTTACTTTATTGTATTATTATTATTTAATTACAATACATAATAAAAAAACATGTTTAATTAAAATTCATCTTTTATTTAATTTTGTCAACATGATATTAATTTTTTATTATTATTATTTAATTTTTGTTGTTTATTTAATTATTCAAAAAAATACATGTTTCATGATTTAATTCTTGTTATTTGTTTTAATTATTAAAAATCCACGATGTTATAATTTAGTCTTTATGTGATTTTGTTTATTTATTTAATAGTTAAAATGCATGCTAGTATGATTTAATTTACATTAGTTAATTGTTCAATTGTCATTTTAATTAATTTTATCATTGATCATCATATCTTTCGTCCGTCTCAAATCCAAGGGAATTGATTTAATTTTGTTGACTTCATGTCATAAAACACGTCTCATCTAATCGTGTGAATACCCTCATTCATCTTTCGTTTATTATTTTGTTAAAAAAACTTAAGATAATTTTGCCAAATATTCAATTTTCAAAACTCACACCTTTTAAGTCAAAACTTCGACGTTAGATCGTCGTATCTTCAAAATCTCGTCCATACCCATTTTTGGCCAAACAAGCTATTTTTAATCAAACAAACAATTTTAATAAACAGATATTTCAAAAGGTTCCTATAGGATACTATAGATGCATTGGGTGCTAATATCTTCCCATTGTATAACCAACCCCCGAACTCTAGACCTCTTTTCAAAATTCCTTGTATTTTCATTACTTTCAAGTATTATTTTACATTGCATATTTTAGGGCTTTATTTCGCTCTTTTCCCTTTTCCCTTGGAAATAATAAAGTGCGGTGGCGACTCTTGCTTTTGTGAGACGAGTTAATTAATAGCTCAATCTCCGACTTACCCTGCTACATTTTTTATCGCTACAGAAATGGCGACTCTGCTGGGGACAAATTGACCTCTTGCTGGTCCATCCCTAAGTGGGTTAGGCCTAGTTTGTTTTATCTGTTTTATCATTATTTGATTGTTTGATTATATGTTTATATTGGGGTTATTTGGGCTTTTGCAAAGGACAGGTCCTATACCCGGACTAAGTTACACTTAAGAATAGGACGGGCGGTATAGTCATGTTAACTTTGAGGGAGTAATCCCGAAGAAGGAGGCATGAAATCCCCCACTCAGTGGAAGGCCCTTTTGAACGTAGTATTTGTTTAACGAGTAATCGAGAAGACATTATTATTTTCGACCTGGGAGCCAGAGAAGCTGAGAACTGTAGAACCCTAACCCATCTTGGCCTTTTAGGTGTAGCGCGGAGACTATAACAGAGTAATCCGGAAGTAGTTGTCACGCGATGCTACGCTCGGATGAGTTTCTCTTGAGAATATTTCTAATTATTGAGTAATCAAGACGTTGGTAATATCCGAAGGAGGAATTTAGACTCTGGGAACTCTTAGAACCTTGTCTTACAGGTGTGATTAAACCTTTAGTACATACCCTGGGGGTGGGCTTTACCTTTGACTCCATGCTCGAAGCGTTGAACCTTTGAACCCCATGTTTGTGAACTTGTGTGTAACTGTTGCATTATCATTCATCCATACATCCATAAACATTTTTTGTAAAACTTGTTTTTCAAGGAACTTAAGAATGATTTTTGCAGACATCTCAGGTACTGTTATTATGGATTTTGGAAGAAGAAACACTCGAAGTTATAGTTTTAAGGAGCCTGAGATTCAAGAGCTGAAGAGTTTGATTCCTAAGATCGAGAACCCTACGGAGTTTCAAAAGATATATGGGTCCATTATACCTCTCATGAAGCACAAGATGAAAGAAGGCATCCTTAGTACATTGGTCCAATTCTACGATCCTTTGTATCGATGCTTCACCTTTCCTGATTACCAGTTAATGCCCACCTTAGAGGAGTACTCCTACAGAATTGGTTTGCCGATCACCGACTGTGTTCCTTTTTCTGGCTTAGAAGAGGTACCCAAATCTCACTAGATAGTGACCATCACCCACTTGAAGAAGTCGGAGATAGAGGAGAACATGACTACCAAAGGGGGAATCTGAGGTTTATCTGCGCAATTTTTGTTGAAGAAAGCTCGTCATTTCGCTGAGATAAAAGATACTATTGCCTTTGAAGATGTCTTTGTGTTACTCGCTGATGGCCTATTCTTGTTCCCTAACATTGATAAGTTCGTGGATATCAACGCCATCCGAATCTTCTTGATTGGAAATTCGGTCCCTACGCTGTTGGGAGATACCTACTACTCCATCCATCTTCGAAACTCCTATCAAGGAGGGATGATTATCTGTTGTGCACCGTTGCTATACCAGTGGTATGTTTCTCATCTACCTAGGTCTGACGTTTTCTGGGATCTCGAGAAGGAGCCACGATGGGCGCCAAAAATTATGGCTCTCACTCATTCTGACATAAATTGGTATAATCGAGCTTTATTGACGTGAAGATCATCGATAGTTGTGATGCTTTTCCTAACGTGCCTCTCCTTGGTACGAAAGGAGGAATTAACTATAATCCTATTCTCGCGCGCCGTCAGTTTGGATACCCGATGAGGGACAAGCCGAACAACATTCATGTGAGTGGTTTCTTTCTACAAGAAGGACAAGATCACCAAGCAGCTAAGGAGGAGATTGAAAGATCTTGGCGTCACATCCATATAAAGGGCAGAGACATGTTAGGACATAGAGGTGTTGTTTCTTTGGAGCCTTACCTACAATGGGTTCGTGCTAGGGCTTGTGCTCTCAAGATGCCTTATAACCCTGAGAAACCTTTATTCCCTACGGATGCATCATCATATATTGATATCCCTATCGAGAACATGAGAGAATACCAAGGAAATATGGCTAGGATGAAGTCCGAAAGAGATGCTTGGAAGGAAAAGTATAATACGTCTGAATACAAGAATAGGGTCCTGACTTGACAGCTAAAGGAAAAGGAGGATTTTCTATTTATTCAAGACGTCTGGTTTATTGATCATGATGAGAAGCTTCGTCAAAAGGATGCATTACTTAGGAAATATGCTAATGAAAGGAAGAGAAAGAAGGAAGATTTGGTAGGCGTCACTCTTGTTCCTAATCCATGAAAGGAGATCATTGATCAACTTGTAGCTGAGAAGAAAGAGATGGAAGACTTTTATGAAGAGAAGATTAGGAAGCTCCAGTTACAGTTGGCATTTGGTCCTTCATCTGATGATTCTGAGTGACTTTTAGTTCTTAGTTTTTTTATTATTACCGATGTCATTTTGTAAAACTCTGTAAAAGGGCTTTATGTTCCTAAGTTGTAATTTACTTCTTTTATTATTGGGTTGTTGTCCCAAAGTTGTAATTTACTGCTTTTATTATTGGGTTGTTGTCCCAAAGTTGTAATTTATTGTTTTTGTTGTCGCAAAGTTGTAATTTACCGCTTTGATTAATGAAATGAGTTTTTGTTGTTCCAAATTCCTTTACCATTGATGTGTGCAAAGTTATTAAAGTTCTAAAGTTACTTGAAAAAAACTATCAAAATAAATTATCATTTTCATCGCATATCATGCATTATCCAACATTCCAATTCACATGTTTTCTAGAGTCTTATCCTTGTTTCTTTTTCCACTCCGATAGATTGTCAAGCTGTCTCACCGGTACGATACCCGAGCCAATCGTCAAAGGAAGATGGAAGATCTGGAACAGGAAAATCACGAGATTCGCGAGGAGGTTACTACTCTTCATGTCAGAATGGAAAAGTTAACTGCTCTAGTGGAAAGCTTGATGGCTGCTCAGAATCAGCCATCGACTTCAGCTGCTGAAATTCAAACTTCAACTACTGTGGTTTCTGAGATTGTCACCGCTCCAACATCTGTGACTCAAGTCAACTCTCCGCTTCAACATCAAATGCCAAAAGGTTTTCCGTGGGGAATGCCTTATAACTTCATTCCAGAAGGGTATCAGCCTGCTGTGCAATCCTTGATTCAACCTACTGTGTCCTTTCCTCAACAAGAGATAACTATTGTGCAGCCTATAATCCCGCCTGTGGTGCCTTTCCCCCAGCCAGTGATGACTACTGCCGCTCCTGTGGTTCATACTATTCCATACATGAATGAACCCACTTATCATGCTGAACCTGCTGAAAGTCTGGGTCTTTTCGATAGAATGGAGGAGTTTCAAGACCATTTCAGGAGATGCAGACGGAAATCAGAGCACTGAAAGGAAAAGAGTTTGGAAAGAATGCTCATGATTTGTGTTTAGTTCCAAATGTAAAGATTCCAGCCAAGATCAAAGTGCTGGACTTTGAAAGGTATAAAGGTGACTCGTGTCCGCGGAGTCATTTAACCATGTATGTAAGAAAGATGTCCACTTATTCCAATGATCATAATTTTTTAATTCACTACTTCCAAGACAGATTGACTGGTGCCGCTCTGAAATGGTACATGGGTTTGGATAGCACCCGGATCCGTAACTTCAACGATCTTAGTGAAGCTTTTGTTCGCCAGTACAAGTACAATGTTGACATGGCTCCGGAATGAGATCAACTCCGGGATATGTCCTAGAAAGATAGGGAGTCCTTTAAAGAATATGCTCAGAGGTGGCGCGAGATTGCTGCTCAGATTTATCCCCCTCTTGAAGAGAAAGAAATGACAAAGATCTTCCTGAAAACTTTAGGTTCTTTTTATTATGAAGGAATGATTGCGAGTGTGCCTAGTGACTTCACTGAGATGGT